TGGGACAAAGGGGCCTGTGTGAGTCATCTTGCCTCGGGTCCCCAAATTTGTGTGAACGGCCCCGACTGCTACAACTCAGATAAAAAAAAACTAAAGTAAAAGTAAAAATATAAAAAATACTTTTCGTGACCTGTACATAAGGTTTGTACGTGAAGGTGAAGTGGTGAGCGATGGCGGCCAAGAACATCTCGATACAGATGATGAAATCCTGGAGAGACAGAAATGAACAACGTCTTAACACAACGGAATCATCAAAATCAATCAATAAATCGATAAATAAATCAATAAATGTTTAAAATAAAAGTTCCTCTTTCTCTCTCTGACCTGGAGTCCTGTGGCCACGGCCTCCACACTCTCCCAGTCCCACGTGTGTTTGTCCGAAATCACTCCGACTTTCACCAGAATCGCGATCACAACAGCCTGCCTACAACAACACAACAAACGCACAACAAACGCACAACAAACACACAACAAACACACAAAAACAAGAGGTGAGAGAACAGCCTGCCTACAACAACACAACAAACAAACAACAAACACACAACAAACACACAAAAACAAGAGGTGAGAGAACAGCCTGCCTACAACAACACAACAACACACAACAAACACACAACAACACAAACACACAAAAACACACACAAACAACAAGAGGTGAGAGAACAGCCTGCCTACAACAACACAACAAACACACACAAACACACAACAAACACAACAAACACACAAAACAAGAGGTGAGAGAACAGCCTGCCTACAACAACACAACAAACACACAACAAACACACAAAAACACAAACACAAGAGGTGAGAGAACAGCCTGCCTACAACAACACAACAAACACACAACAAACACAACACAAACACACAACAAACACACAACAAACACACAAAAACAAGAGGTGAGAGAACAGCCTGCCTACAACAACACAACAAACACACAAAAACACACAACAAACACACAAAACACAAACAAACAACAAGAGGTGAGAGAACAGCCTGCCTACAACAACACAACAAACACACAAAAACACACAACAAACACACAAAAACACAAACACAAGAGGTGAGAGAACAGCCTGCCTACAACAACACAACAAACACACAACAAACAACAAAAACACACAACAAACACAACAAAAACAAGAGGTGAGAGAACAGCCTGCCTACAACAACACACAAACACACAACAAACACACAACAAACACACAAAAACACACAAAAACAAGAGGTGAGAGAACAGCCTGCCTACAACAACACAACAAACACACAAAAACACACACAAAAACACACAAAAACACAAACACAAGAGGTGAGAGAACAGCCTGCCTACAACAACACAACAAACACACAACAAACACACAACAACACACAAACACAAAGGTGAGAGAACAGCCTGCCTACAACAACACAACAAACACACAACAAACACACAACAAACACACAAAAACACAACAAAAAAACAACACAAGAGGTGAGAGAACAGCCTGCCTACAACAACACAACAAACACACAACAAACACACAAAACACACAAAAAACACACAAAAACAAGAGGTGAGAGAACAGCCTGCCTACAACAACACAACAAACACACAACAAACACACAACAAACACACAACAAACACACAAAAACAAGAGGTGAGAGAACAGCCTGCCTACAACAACACAACAACAACACACAACAAACACACAAAAACACACAAAAACACACAACAAACACACAAACACAGAGGTGAGAGAACACACAAACACAACAAACACACAAACAAAGAGACACACAACAAACAACAACACACACAAACAAAAAACACACAACAAACAAACACAAGAGGTGAGAGAACAGCCTGCCTACAACAACACAACAAAACACAACAACAACAAACACACAAAAACACACAACAAAACACACAAAGCACACAAGAGGTGAGAGAACAGCCTGCCTACAACAACACAACAAACACACAACACACACAAACAAAACACACAACAAACACACAAAACACACAAAAACACACAACAAACAACACACAAACACAAGAGGTGAGAGAACAGCCTGCCTACAACAACACAACAAACACACAACAAACACACAAAAACACACAACACACAAAAACACACAAGAGGTGAGTGTGTATTTTAGAGTGTGACATGGTCCGTGTGCCGTTTGTTCTACGGACACGTTCTCGAGGTGGACGTCGGTTTTCCCCGAGTCTCGAACACAAGAGGATCTGATCTCATGACGTGATGTTATAAACTCAGCTCAAAACACTGCTCAGTGTGTGAGCCGGGCAGCCACAAGAGCAGCCGCCCCCTCTGTGATCGGGATGTTCTCTGACTCTTTAAGAACTGAGTTTGGCTCCTCTGACCTGAGTTTAGTTTAAATAAGTTTAACTGTTACCAGAAGGAGACGAAGACGACGAGTTTGACGCAGAGGAACTTCCCCACGGGCCTGATGGGCGTGAGCTCCTCCTTCAGAGCTCGATACAGCAGCACCAGGCAGTACATGGCAAACTGAAACCACACAAATGACCCTGACGTTAAAGCCACCGTCTGAGTCACGTCTGACGCTTCAGTATCGAGACGAAACTAAAGAACAATAAAACGTCAGAGCAGTAAACGTGCGACAGTGAGAGCAGATCTGAGGTACCAGCTGGGAGATGTTGTTGATGATGACCAGGTAGGACCAGGCGTTTCTGAAGCTGAAGTTTGCCTCGTCGTAAACTCCACACAGCTGACAGATCCTACAAGAGAACCAGCTCAGAACCCGTCTGTCCCAGGACCAGACCGGGACCAGACCGGGACCAGACCGGGACCAGACCGGGACCAGACCGGGACCAGACCGGGACAGAAGCTGCATGTTTTCAACACGTTCATTAAATATTTAGATGGATGTGACTCACAGAGCGATCACCGTGGTGACGGGTCGGACCACCGTGTACTGAAGCACGCCCAGTTTACACCGGAACAGCAGCACCCTGGGAACAACAACAGGCAGAAGAGACGAGAAGGTCTGAGGAGGTCTGAGGAGGTCTGAGGAGGTCTGAGGAGGTCTGAGAAGGTCTGAGGAGGTCTGAGGAGGTCTGAGGAGGTCTGAGGAGGTCTGAGGAGGTCTGAGGAGGTCTGAGGAGGTCTGAGAAGGTCTGAGGAGGTCTGAGGAGGTCTGAGGAGTCTGAGGAGGTCTGAGGAGGTCTGAGGAGGTCTGAGGAGGTCTGAGAAGGTCTGAGGAGGTCTGAGGAGGTCTGAGAAAGTCTGAGAAGGTCTGAGGAGGTCTGAGGAAGGTCTGAGGAGGTCTGAGGAGGTCTGAGGAGGTCTGAGGAAGGTCTGAGGAGGTCTGAGGTCTGAGGTCTGAGGAGGTCTGAGGAGGTCTGAGGAGGTCTGAGAAGGTCTGAGAAGGTCTGAGGAGGTCTGAGGAGGTCTGAGGAGGTCTGAGAAGGTCTGAGGAGGTCTGAGGAGGTCTGAGAAGGTCTGAGGAGGTCTGAGAAGGTCTGAGGAGGTCTGAGGAGGTCTGAGGAGGTCTGAGGAGGTCTGAGGAGGTCTGAGGAGGTCTGAGAAGGTCTGAGGAGGTCTGAGGAGGTCTGAGGTCTGAGGAGGTCTGAGGAGGTCTGAGAAGGTCTGAGGAGGTCTGAGGAGGTCTGAGGAGGTCTGAGGAGGTCTGAGGAGGTCTGAGGTCTGAGGGTCTGAGGGTCTGAGGAGGTCTGAGAGGTCTGAGGAGGTCTGAGGAGGTCTGAGAAGGTCTGAGGAGGTCTGAGGGTCTGAGGAGGTCTGAGGAGGTCTGAGGAGGTCTGAGAGGTCTGAGGTCTGAGGAGGTCTGAGGAGGTCTGAGGAGGTCTGAGGAGGTCTGAGGAGGGTCTGAGGAGGTCTGAGGAGGTCTGAGGGTCTGAGCTGAGGAGGTCTGAGGAGGTCTGAGGAGGTCTGAGGAGGTCTGAGGAGGTCTGAGGAGGTCTGAGAAGGTCTGAGAGGTCTGAGGAGGTCTGAGTCTGAGATATGAGTGTGCACTATTTGACCAGCAGAGTCCAAATTAAGGCCCAGGAGCCAAATGTGGCCTTCAGACAAATGTTGATTGGCCCTCAGATCTCCTGCTGAACTCGGCCAAATGATTATTCTGGATTTCAGGCGACAGAAGCAGAACTTTTACTACAAACTGAGTAGTAAAAACATTTGTATCTGATTGTGTTTCAGATCTAAAATGAAATGTTCTAAACCAGGGGTGTCAAACATACGGCCCGGGGGCCAGATACGGCCCTCCAAGACCTTTAATCTGGCCCTCGTCTGATTTTTCACTAAAATATATTATTTTAATTATATTTTCTATTAAAATCTTGTTAATTTTCTGTGTCTGTGGGCAGAGTTTAGGTGTTAATCCCACTTTAACAGGTGGATAGTGTTAGGTTTACGATTGGGGCTGGTCTTTGGGTTGGGGTTGGGTTTGGAGTTGGGTTTAGGGTTGGGGTTCTGGTCGGGGTTCCAATCGGTCTTACTCTCACATGGGCCAGGGGGCGCAGCAGCAGAGGGTTTGGGTTGGGTTTAGGGTCAGGTTTGGGGTTGGGGTTCAGGTTGGGTTTGGGGTTCAGGTTTAGGGTTGGGGTTGGGGTTCTGGTCGGGGTTCTGGTTGGGGTTCTGGTCGGGGTTTCGGTCGGGGTTCTGGTCGGGGTTCTGGTTGGGGTTCTGGTCGGGGTTTCGGTCGGGTTCTGGTCGGGGTTCTGGTCGGGGTTCTGGTCGGTCTTACTCGCCCATGGACCAAGGGGCGCAGCAGCAGAGGGTTTAGGGTCAGGTTTAGGGTTGGAGTCAGGTTTAGGTCGGGGTCAGGGTCAGGTTTAGGGTCGGGGTCAGGGTCAGGTTTAGGGTTGGGGTTCAGGTTGGGTTTGGGGTTCAGGTTTAGGGTCAGGTTTAGGGTTGGGGTTCGGGTTGGGTTGGGGTTGAGGTCAGGTTTAGGGTTGGGGTTCTGGTCGGGGTTCCAATCGGTCTTACTCTCACATGGACCAAGGGGCGCAGCAGCAGAGGGTTTGGGTTGGTTTTAGGGTCAGGGTCAGGTTTTAGGGTTGGCGTTCCGGTCGGGGTTCTGGTCGGGGTTCTGGTTGGGGTTCAAGTTGGGTTTGGGGTTCCGGTCGGTCTTACTCGCCCATGGGCCAGGGGGCGCAGCAGCAGAGGGTTTGGGTTGGGTTTAGGGTCAGGTTTGGGTTGGAGTCAGGGTTTAGGGTTGGGGTTGGGGGGTTCGGTCGGGGTTCTGGTCGGTCTTACTTGCCCATGGGCCAGGGGGCGCAGCAGCAGAGGGTTTGGGTTGGGTTTAGGGTCGGGGTCAGGGTCAGGTTTAGGGTCGGGGTTCTGGTTGGGGTTCTGGTTGGGGTTCGGGTTTGGGTTTGGGGTTGGGGTTCTGGTCGGGTTCCGGTCGGGGTTCCGGTCGGTCTTACTCGCCCATGGGCCAGGGGGCGCAGCAGCAGAGGGGGGGCAGGTGGGGCTGCTGCTGTTGAACCTCCAGCATCATGGCGAGGTTCGGGTGCTGGTGACTCAGGAAGTTGAGCAGGAAAATCAGGAAGTTGTAGATGACGTAGGCCTCGTAGCACTCGCGGCAGGTGTCCACGTAGATCGCCAGGCTCGGGTACCTCAGGGCCAACCACTGAGAACAGGACAGGAAGAGCTCCACTGTGTTTTTAAACTCCACAAACCTTCACTACACTGCAAAAACTAAAACCTAGACAAGTTAAGAAAGTTTTTGTCGGGATTTGAGTAAATTTCACTTGTCGAGTAAAATGATCTGCCAGTGGAACAAGACTTTTTGTACTTAAAATATGAATCCAGTCCAGTCCAACTTTATTTGTGACGCACATTTTACCAAAACAAAATCTCCATAGTGCTGCACAAAAAAACAGATAATGATTCGTTTTTTCAGTTTTGGATTTTGGGTTTAAATGAAAAATGGAAAAAACAGACGGAACCAGGACTAAAACAGGACTAAACCAGGACTAAACCAGGTCAAACCAGTAACTCCAGTCTTGTCCTGTCTCAGTCCTAATCTGGTCCCGGTTTCAGTCCCGGTCTCAGTCCCGGTCTTGTCCTGGTTCAGTCCTGTTTTAGTCCTTGGTTTAGTCCTGGTTTAGTTCTGGTTTAGTCCTGTTTTCCTGTTTAGTCCTTTTGGTTTAGTCCTGTTCTCTGGTTTAGTCCTGGTTTAGTCCTGGTTTTATTTTTAGTCCTGGTTTAGTCCTGGTTTAGTCCTGGTTTTGTCCTGGTTTAGTCCTGGTTTAGTCCTGGTTTAGTCCTGGTTTAGTCCTAGTCCTGGTTTAGACCTGGTTTAGTCCTGGTTTAGTCCTGGTTTAGTCCTGGTTTAGTCCTGGTTTAGTCCTGGTTTAGTCCTGGTTTAGTCCTGGTTTAGTCCTGGTTTAGTCCTGGTTTAGGTCCTGGTTTAGTTCCTGGTTTAGTCCTGGTTTAGTCCTGGTTTAGTCCTGGTTTAGTCCTGGTTTAGTCCTGGTTTAGTCCTGGTTTAGTCCTGGTTTAGTCCTGGTTTAGTCCGTTATCCATTTTTTCCATTTTTCATTTAAACACAAAATCAAAAACTGAAAATACAAATCTTAATCTGTTTTTTGTTTTTTCAGTTTGGTTTTGGAGACTTTCTCGTGCTCCTGCCTCCGTCTGTTTCACCTCGTGATGTCATCCAGTGGTGATCGTGTTCCTCCGTGTTTTTATAATCGAGTTATTAAATCACAAAGTCTGAAAGTGAAACTCAGATGAAGTTCTGGTCTCTAAACGCCGCTGATCTCGTTACACGACACGGTTTTTATCTCTGAGCGTAACTCACACTGTCCAGGCTGTAGATCGGAACCATCCACAGAATCCTGAAAAAACACAAAAAAACACAAAAAAACACACAAAAAAACACACAAAAAACACAAAAACACACAAGAAAACAGATTAAAACATAAACTCAGAACTGAAATTCACCTTAAACTTTATAAAAAAAATTTTTTTTTTTTTAATGATCTCCTGTGATTTTACACATTAAATGGTAAAATTTTCTTTTCTGTTCCCACATGATTAAACCAGGACTAAACCAGGACTAAACCAGGTCTAAACCAGGACTAAACCAGGACTAAACCAGGTCTAAACCAGGACTAAACCAGGTCTAAACCAGGTCTAAACCAGGTCTAAACTAAACCAGGACTAAACCAGGACTAAACCAGGTCTAAACCAGGACTAAACCAGGACTAAACCAGGACTAAACTAAACCAGGTAAACTAAACTAAACCAGGAACCAGGAAACCAGGTCTAAACCAGGACTAAACCAGGTCTAAACCAGGACTAAACCAGGACTAAACCAAACCAGGTAAACCAGGACTAAACCAGGACTAAACCAGGTCTAAAACCAGGTCTAAACCAGGACTAAACCAGGTCTAAACCAGGAAAACCAGGAAACCAGGTCTAAACCAGGTCTAAACCAGGTCTAAACCAGGACTAAACCAGGTCTAAACCAGGACTAAACCAGGTCCAGGTAAACCAGGACTAAACCAGGTCTAAACCAGGTCTAAACCAGGACTAAACCAGGACTAAACCAGGTAAACCAGGTCTAAACCAGGACTAAACCAGGTCTAAACCAGGTCCAAACCAGGTCTAAACCAGGTAACCAGGACTGGGTGGTGGACCTGGTGGTGTGACCTGGTGGTGTGACCTGGTGGTGTGACCTGGTGGTGGTGACCTGGTGGTGTGACCTGGTGGTGTGACCTGGTGGTGTGACCTGGTGGTGGTGACCTGGTGGTCTACCTGGACCTGGTGGACTGGTGACCTGGTGGTGGTGACCTGGTGGTGGACTGGGTGGTGGACCTGGTGGTGTGACTGGTGGTACCTGGTGGAGGACCTGGTGGAGGACCTGGTGGTGTGACCTGGTGGACCTGGTGGTGTGACCTGGTGGTGTGACCTGGTGGTGTGACCTGGTGGACCTGGGGGGTGACCTGGTGGTGTGACCTGGTGGACCTGGTGGACCTGGTGGTGTGACCTGGTGGACCTGGTGGTGGTGGAGGACCTGGTGGTGTGACCTGGTGGTGTGACCTGGTGGTGGTGGAGGACCTGGTGGTGTGACCTGGTGGTGTGACCTGGTGGTGTGACCTGGTGGTGTGACCTGGTGGTGTGGTGGTGGTGGTGACCTGGTGGTGTGGTGGTGGTGACCTGGTGGTGGAGGACCTGGTGGTGTGACCTGGTGGTGTGAGGTGGGACCTGATGATGGGCTTCGGAAGCTCTGGTTGGGTGTAGTGGACCAGATGTTGCAGGATTCCCCACAGGGAGATGGGAATCGTGAGGAAGACGAAGACTCCAGCGATGAACCAGGCTTTACTGTGAGTCCCGACCTGAGAGAAGAACAAGGTCAGGAGCATCAGGAGCATCAGGAGCATCAGGAGCATCAGGAGCATCTGACCCTATCCTCTGCATCATCTGACCTCCTCTGACATCATCTGACCTCCTCTGCAACATCATCTGACCTCCTCTGCATCATCATCTGACCTCCTCTGCATCATCTGACCTCCTCTTCACATCATCTGACCTCCTCTGCATCATCTGACCTCCTCTGACCTCCTCTGCATCATCATCTGACCTCCTCTGCATCATCTGACCTCCTCTGCATCATCTGACCTCCTCTGCATCATCTGACCTCCTCTGCATCAGCATCTGACCTCCTCTGCATCATCATCTGACCTCCTCTGCATCATCTGACCTCCTCTGCATCATCATCATCTGACCTCCTCTGCATCATCTGACCTCCTCTGCATCATCTCTGACCTCTCTGCATCATCTCCTCTCTTCATCATCATCTGACCTCCTCTGCATCATCTCTGACCTCTCATCATCTCTGACCTCCTCTGATCCTCTCTCTCATCTGACCTCCTCTCATCATCATGATCATCTCTGACTCTCTCTCTTCTGACCTCCTCTGCATCATCTGCCTCATCATCTGACCTCCTCTGCATCATCTGACTCTCTCATGACCTCCTCTGCATCATCTGACCTCCTCTCTCTCTGACCTCCTCTGCATCATCTTCTGACCTCCTCTCTCCTCTCATCATCTGACCTCTCTCTGACCTCCTCTCATCTCTCTTCTCATCTGACCTCCTCTCATCCTGACCTTCCTTCTTCATCTCTGACCTTCTCTTCTTCATCCTCTGACCTTCTCCTCTTCATCCTCTGACCTTCTCTTCTTCATCCTCTGCTCCTCTGACCTTCTCTTCTTCATCCTCTGCTCCTCTGACCTTCATCCCCTGCCTCCTCTCTCCTTCTTCTATCACAGTAGTTCGGTTCAGGTTTATCTCTCAGTCCTGTTCTCTCGGTTTCTTCTCGTTCTCACCTTGTCCTTCTGAAGCTCCCAGATGCAGAGCGGGACCAGGGCGACCAGGAGGAGCACGTACAGGACCAGGACCAGGGGCCGGATCCACCTCCTCCACTGAGCGCAGGAGCAGGGCATGACGGCTTCAACACAGCTCCACCTGCAGGAACATCTGAGGAGGAACACAAGACGCTCAGGAACATCTGAGGAGAAACACAAGACGCTCAGGAACATCTGAGGAGGAACACAAGACGCTCAGGAACATCTGAGGAGGAAACACAAGACGCTCAGGAACATCTGAGGAGGAACACAAGACGCTCAGGAACATCTGAGGAGAAACACAAGAGAACACACTCAGGAACATCTGAGGAGAAACACAAGACGCTCAGGAACATCTGAGGAGAAACACAAGACGCTCAGGAACATCTGAGGAGAAACAAGACAAGACGACTCAGGAACACACATCAGGAACATCTGAGGAGGAACATCTTCAGGAACACAGGAACACTGTTTAGGACACTTTTATCACTTTTATCTGAGGATCATTTTCTAATGTTCCTCCTCAAAAACTGAACCAGGACTAAACCAGGACTAAACCAGGACTAAACCAGGTCTAAACAGGACTAAACCAGGACTAAACCAGGTCTAAACCAGGACTAAACCAGGTCTAAACCAAGACTAAACCAGAACTAAACCAGGACTAAACCAGGTCTAAACCAAGACTAAACCAGGACTAAACCAGGACTAAACCAGGTCTAAACCAGGAAACCAAGACTAAACCAAACCAGGACTAAACCAGACTAAACCAGGTCTAAACCAGACTAAACCAGGACTAAACCAGGACTAAACCAGGTCTAAACCAGGTTAAACCAGACTAAACCAGGACTAAACCAGGACTAAATCTTTTCCAGTTGAATTTATTCTTTGGTTGGATTTTCTGTTTGTTCTTTTACTTCAGGAGCGACAGGAAAAAAAAAAACAAAAAACGCGCGCACTGTTTTTAGTTTTATTATTTTTGCTTCTTCTTTATCAAATTTATTCAGTTTTTATTTTTTATTTTTGTCAATTCTGCCTCAAATCAAACCCGCACGTGTCGACGCTGAACTGATCCAAGCACAAAACCAAACCAACATCTCTCCACACGACGAAAACACCGAGGATTTGAACGAAGTGACGTGAGAAAAACGCAAGTATAAAGCTGAAAACGCGATGCACAGTGAAGCGGAAGCAGCATCAGCATCACGCACCTCGCTCTGGTTTCTGCCTCGCTCCGGTTTGGTTTCCAGGCAACGACGCATCCTCCGCGCGCCTTTACGCACGGAGCAGCATCACAACAACAACAGCGGCGGCGGAAACATCTCCCAGCGACGAGTTTAACGACGAAAACGAACAAAAAATACAAAAAATAAAACAAATCCGCGTTTCCCTGGCGATGCTGGCGGCTCCTGGCGGCTCCTGGCGGCTCCTGGCGGCTCCTGGCGGCTCCTGGGGGCTTCGGTCCGTGCGTCTCCGGAGCGGTTTTTCTCCTCCTCGCCGTGCGCCTTTTTACGCGCTCACGTCACTCGTCACGCGGGTTACGTAATTGGACGTGCTCCGGGGGGGATGAGGGGCGTGCGGGCTCAGACCTGATTGGCTCAGCTCGGGTTTCCTTTCATAAAAACGTGAATTCTCTCTGAACATGTCGACAAACGCACCGAGTCATTTCTCTGAACGCGCAGAGACACAGTTGTAGTTCCTCCACGTCACCACCAGGGGTCAGGCTCGGCCTGGAGATGCAGCTTAAAGAGCTCGTGTCACACTTTTTCTGATCTGTTCTCCTCACAGTTGTGTTTTGTTTTATTCACACATGATTAACTCACAAACTTAAAAAAATACTTTAAAAAAGTCCTGGTTTAGACCTGGTTTTAGTCCTGGTTTAGACCTGGTTTAGACCTGGTTTAGACCTGGTTTAGACCTGGTTTAGACCTGGTTTAGACCTGGTTTAGACCTGGTTTAGACCTGGTTTAGTCCTGGTTTAGACCTGGTTTAGACCTGGTTTAGTCCTGGTTTCCTGGTTTAGACCTGGTTTAGACCTGGTTTAGACCTGGTTTAGTCCTGGTTTAGACCTGGTTTAGATCCTGTTTAGACCTGGTTTAGTCCTGGTTTAGTCCTGGTTTAGTTTCCAGCAATGAGTGGAATTACTTTTTTTTTTTTAATTAAAATTAAAATAATGTCAAAACAGGAAAATCTCGTCGTTAATCCATTTATTTCAACAAAGTAACTGTAAACTGAAACAGTAACTGTAACTGAATACAGTTACTCATCATTTGTACTCTGATTACATTACTCCAGTACATGTAACTCCACAACACTGAATATACCCGTGAGTTGCGCATGCGCAGTCAGTCTGTGGAGCTGCGGAGGAGCGCGTGCGTCTTGTGTCCCTGTTACCATGACGACGGCGCAGTTCGGCCGCTGTTGACGGCGGAGACGGAGAAACTACGAAAACAGAGAAAAACATCGATTTTATCTTCCGTAAGTACATTTAAACTTCACACACGCGCGGGTTTCACTGTTCACTGGCCCCGTGAACATCTGAATCACATTTGAAGTGTTTGTTTTGATCGTAAATCCGGAGAAAAGTGAGTTTAACGTCGCGCTGGGAGCTCACGTCAACGTCCGGCGGAAATCGGTGCGTGCTGCGTGCGCTGTGATTTGTTGCCTGCTGCACGCGCACGGTTTTGCTTTATTTTTATTTTTATTTATTTATTTATTTATATTTTTTTGTTAGATTGTGGGAAAAAAGATCCATGTTTTTATTTTCCAACCGCTTTTGACATTTTTACTTACATTATATTATATTATATCACCAGTGTCGGGGAGTAACAGATTACAAGTACCGGAGTTAATGTAATCAGAGTACAAATTATGAGTAACTGTATTCAGTTACAGTTACTGTTTCAGTGAGTGGTAATTGGATTACAGTTACTTTTTTGAAATAAATGGATTACACAGAGGGATTTTCCCATTTTGGGCTAAACCAGGACTAAACCAGGATGTGTGTTTGTCATGTATTTGTCGTGTATTTGTTGTGTATTTGTCATGTGTTTCTTGTGTATTTGTTGTGTATTTGTCATGTGTTTGTTGTGTATTTTTTCGTGTATTTGTTGTGTATTTGTCATGTGTTTGTTGTGTATTTGTTGTGTATTTTTTTCGTGTAT